TGCCCCCTGTGCCGGCACCCCCCGGCTCCCCACAGCCGGCGTCTGCCATGTGTTTCAACCTCAAACATTCCCCAGGCGACCTCAGAGGAAGCACCCCCGGCCAGGAGCCCCGCCAGGGTCTCTCTGGGGCTGTTGGCTGCCAAGCCGCCGAGTCAGGGGCCGCGGGGCTGGCCTCGGGCTGCCAGCTCTGTTTGGTTTTCTCCTTCCTGCCCTGGAACCTCAGACGCCCGTCTCGCCGTGGAGGCGCCCATATCCTGGGGCAGGCACAAAGCCCCTACTCAGCTGGGCTGTGGAGAGCCGCACTCAGCACGTAGCTCAGCTGCACTCTGGGGCTGGCGGCGTGCTCCACCCACAGGTCCCCCCCAAGCACAGGCGCCTACTTGCTCTGCCACCCCAACATGCTTCCTTCTGCTGTCCCTGCAGGGCGGATCCTGGTCCCTCTGGTTTTAGTCACTTTGAAACCTCTCAGCCTGGACTGCGCCAGACCAGGAGAAAGACCCGCCCTCTGTACAGGGGAACACACCAGAATGCATGTCCCCACATTCCCAAAGCCATGAGTGACCAGCATGGGCACACATGTACAAGCATGCATACACATCCCACTTGCGATGGCCCCGAAGCACCCTCAGAGCCCAAGCCTTGTCCCCTGCAAGGCCTGCCTGACAAGCCCTGCAGGCCTGGCCCTGGTGGGACAGGTTCTCCTGTTAAGCATTAACCAGCTCCACCTCTGGCTGACTTGCAGCAGATAAGGGGTTCGGAGAGACTCCCTGGCCAGGGAGAGTCATTCAAAGTTGGGCCTTGGGGAGTACCTGGCCCCAAGTGACTGGACCAGATCAACTGACCAGAGCAGAGTGATGAATCTGGGGTTATGGGCCCTGCTGGGCCCAGCTAAAGCAAGGGGTGCTGAGGTGAGACTGGAGCAAGGACTTCTGGCCCACTGTACCTGGACCACCAGGATGAGGAAGCCAAGAACACAAAAGGTTGGGTCAGACCAGCCAGAGGTAACGGCATAGATGGATTAGCCTCCAGAAGGTTCTCTGGGCCCCTGCAGCCAGGGCAGCAGCAGGACCAAGCTGGCTCAAATAGCCTCCCTGTGAGTGCACAGCTCAGAGCAGTCTGGAGATCAGCTCTCTCCTCAGCTCCCCCTACTTGGCTCCCATCTTCTTCACACCTGGTTCCACTGATGCTGCATCTCCAATTCAGATGCCTCCTTGACATGCCAAGCCCACTCCAACTGAGTCCAGCCTGGTCTTCCTCCTGCTGACTCTCTCAAGGGTCAGCCTCATTGGCCCATCACCCCCTCTTACAAAGCTTGGTTGTACTCAAGTCACTTCTGGCCCTCAGGTACCCCTGGAAGTAGGCTGGAGCCCAAGCACCCATTCCCTGGGTCATAGGAGGGACCTTCCTCCCCAAGGGAGTTTCCGGGCTTCCGGAGGCCAGTAGTGCTGGCCATGAGGTGGGGCTCCCAGAAGTCCTGCCTCCCTCTTCCCCTCCTCTCCACCAAGAAGAATTTCCCAATCAGTAGAAGCAGAGCAAATACGAAGGGCTCCGAGCGCTGTCCCAGAATCAGTCAGACCAGCCTTTGGGTGCCCAGGGTCTGAGAGGAAGGCCTGGGGGCCGGCTGGCCACAGGAAGCAGAGGGCGCCAGGTGAGAGCACTACACCCTGGGGGATGCCATCCCCAACACCGGGGGAAATCTTGCCCATTGAAGCATAAAAACTTCCAGTTAGGCTAAGGGTGGAAGGAGTTGGTTAGCAAGCCTGTAATAAGGGCCTGGCCCTGGGCTGACAGGAAGTCTAAAGGAGGTGGCCAACTGTCATTAGGCCTGGTGGGAAGTGGGATTCCAGGCAGGGAGGAGACACAGGGTAGAATCCAGCACAAAATATCACAGCAGGTCCCAGGAACCTGGACTGACCAGGGAGGGCTCCCTGGAGGAAGGGGTGGGGCACATGCAGGCACTGAAGGGTAAGCAGGATAGGGATGGAGAAGGATGTTTTAGACAGTGGGAACAAGTTTGGCAACTGCAGGAATGAACCGGCTGCCCTGCCCTGAAGAACACAGAGCTACAGGCAAGGAGCCTCCACAGGTGGGTGGCTGGCACGCGTCTGGATTTGGAAGGATACCTATCTTGCTTTCCTGGGGAAAATTGCATTAACGCCTAGAGGTGTGCCCCTAAACCCCGGTAGGGCCATGTACATAGGAGACCAAAGATAGACAAAAGAAAGAACCGCCTGCCTCCTCAGGAGTGGAGGCTGCCCCAGGCCGTCCCAGGCAAGGAGAGCTGAGAAAGTTCCTGGGGTGGGGATGGGGAGAACCCGAGCCTCTCAGGTGTGGGTCTTGCCCAGGCTCCTGGGCTCTTTCCTTAGTTGGTTGAGACCAGTGGAGCAGATGGCGCCACCTGGTGGCCATGTACCTGCCTCATGTACCTTTACCACCATGAGGACCTAGAGGTCCTGAGGGACCCTGAGCTTACCAAGGTCTTAGGATTCCCTAGCGCTTAGTGGCCAGAGTCTTCAAGGTCCTGAGATCTTCCATGGCCAGCTTCCAAAAAGCCTTTGTGGTCTCCTGGGGACAACTTTCCCAGGTTAGCCCAGGAATCTCACCTGACCAACGGCACCAAACCACTGTATTTCGGTGCCTGCCCTCCTCTGCCCTGTCTGTTCTTAGACTAAAGGAGATGAGGATGCAGCAGAGCAGGGACACAGGGGTGAGGCACACAGGTGGAGATCGTCTGCTGACAGCTTATCCCAGAAGCTATTATAATCCCAGAATACAAGTAGGCTCTGACATTTCAAAAAGAAAATGTTGACTTTGAATGTTGACATGCGGGGCCGGGGCCTGTTTGAATCTGGCGTCCCAGGGCCTGTCTCAGCAACCCACCCCAGGGACCCTGAAGGGCCCTCGGCAGCTCTTGCCAGCCCATTCCATCAGCCACCACCAGGGGCGCTCTGCCAGCTACCACGGAGGCAGGAGGGAGGGCAGTGGTGGAGGGGCGTGGGGGTGCAGAGCCTCTGGGGCTCCTTTGCACACCCACTCTCCTTCTATAGGAGCTTCACTTAAAAGTTGGCCTGGCTTGGGACCAACAGATGGCATAATGGTTACATCGCTGGACTCCCACTTAGTTGACTGAAGTTCAAGTCCTGGATCCTGCAGCTTAAAACTCAGACCGGGCACACGAGCTGTGTGTGTGTGTGTGTGTGTGTGTGTGTGTGTGTCCAGAATCTGAAGGGGAGAATGGAGAAGGGATCACGGTCATCCCCTCTGGGGGTGATTTCTCGCTTTCTGTCTATCTTTCTGTCTCTCTGGTGAGCACACGTGCCCTATAACACAAATTTCTCTCTCTCTTAAAAAAAAAAAAAAAAAAAGTTGGCCTGGCTGGATAATTTGCAGGGCCCAGTGCAGAATGAAAATGCCCAGCCTCTTGTTTGAGAATGAAGAATTTCCTTTTCAACAGTAGCCACTAAATCAAGCCCAGGGCCTCTCTACATGTGGGCCCCTGTGGCAGGCCGCAGCCTGAGAAGCCAGCCCTGCCTTTTGCAGACCTTTTGGTACCCACAACACTCCAAGGCCCACCCTTCTGCTCTGGGGTCAGGTGGGCTGACCATGGCCATGCTGGCTGCCAGCCTTAAATAGACTGTCATGCTGGCCTCCCAGAGACAACATGTGTGAACCCCTGAAGGGGTCGATAGAGCCAGGCCTTTAAGGCAGGATGCCTGGGACCTGGACTTGAGTATCCCTCCCTCCTTTGAGCACTGAGGGGATCGGGTTGGTTCTGGGAGTTGAACCTGCCTCCCCAGCCCACCAGGGAGTGGGATTCAGATGCTGTGTCTGTTGGGTTAGGGTCATCTCTGTGGTCATGATGGGGCCCCTTTCTGTCTCCCATGTTTTACCCCAGGCTGAGGGGTGCCGAAACGAGGGAGTCTGACCCCAACAACTGGTCGTTCCTGGAAGGAAAGACCTGCATGCGGCCTCCCAGGCCAGAGTGGACTTGGCCAGGGCAAGAGGGGTTGTAGGTTCTTGGCAAAGCAAGGGAGGAACTGAGTCTTGGCTGGCTGCTGCTCCCTTGTGGAGGGTAAGGCTGGGAAAACCTGAGCCCGAGAGCAGGCCCTGGGCCTGGGGCACAGTGTGACCCAGGTGGCATCCAGGCCCCCTGCTCGGAACCCTGGCCTTCCAGCCCTTGAGTGGGAGGAGCCAGCCCTGCCAGGTGCACTCCTTCCCGGGGCCCCAGGCAGGTGGGGTGCTGGGCCAGGGCAGCTGTGCCAGCCCCGCCCTCCTTCCCTCCTACATGCCCCAGGGTGGCCGGCCAGGCAGGTAGGCGAGTCTGGGCCGGCAGCTGAGTCAGTTTGCAAGGAATGTTCTGGCCGCTCCCAGATACACCCTGCCCTGCCTGCCCCCACCTCGCCCTCATCCCCAGGCACTGCTGGCCTGGCGCCCTGCCCGTGCCAGGAACGCACCTTCAGTCAGGGCTTGCTTAAACGCGCTCCCACTCACAGCCCGCTCCCAGGTCCCCAGCCACACCCCACAGAGCCCAGACCCCTCAGAGACCCCATGTTCTGGCTCCTTAGCCGCTCCTGGGCCTGGATCCTCCTGAGCAGGCCCTACCAGTGTGACTGGCAAACTGCCATGGGCCTGGGGTAGGGGACAGAGATGGGATGGGATCCTCATAAGATGAGACCCCCAGGGATGTGATGGGACCTCAGGCAGGCCACAGGTCCAAGAGAGAGAGGCAAGGAAGAAGAGGGCTTCCTGGAGGAGGGGGCTTCCTGGAGGAGGGGGCTTCCTGCAGTGTGTGGAGAGGAGCTTTGTGGGCAAGGTTCAGCCTAGGCAGGAACCAGGCTGTCCAGGCCTGGCCTGCTTGGCTGGGGTTAGAGGCTGGCGAGGGTGGCCAGGAGGCCGGGCTTGTGGCAGCTAAGTTGGCGCTTTGGCCAAGGCCCAGCGCCTCCCTCCCTTCGGCTTCCTGCTGCTCAGAGCCCTCGCCCCTGGCCACCCCAGGCTGCCTCCTTGCCCAGGCAGACCTTGCACAGACTGGTGCCGGGCAGATGAGGCAGCAACCGGGAGCCCGCGGGGCCACCCTCCTTGGTGACCTGGCCTTCCTGGCCATCTCATCCAAGCTGGCAGGGCAGGAAGATGGGGCGCTCACCAGACCCCCACAGCACTCCGACCCCAGCTGGCACCACAGCCATGCCCGGGCTCATTCCAGACCTGGTCACCAGGATCCCCTGTGAGTTGTGGGGCCCCCAAGAGGGGTGTGGGGATGGCGCAGTGGGGTGGGGTGCTGGACAGCCACAGATACATCTCAGCCCCATCTCTGTCCCCTGCCCCAGGGCCCTGGTGGGCACTCATTGTAGTGGTGCTTGCTGCTGGCATCCTCACCATCTCCTGCCTCATCTGTGCCACCTGCTGCTGCCGCCGCCACCACCACAAGAAGAAGCCCAAGGACAAGGAGGCCGTGGGCCTGGGCAGTGCCCACAGCATCACCACCACCCACCTGGTAACGTGCAGGCACATCCCAGTGCCCAGCTCTGTGCTGGTCCAGTCCAGAGAAGGCAGTTCAAGATCCAGGCTCGGAGGCTCAGGGCAGTGCAAAGCAGTTGGGGGCTTGCTCAGATCAGATGCAGGGCTAGGAACAACCCTCCTGGCAGGGCAGGCAAATGAGCAAAGGGGAAGGGCAGGCAGGCAGTGCAAAAGGTAGAAACGTTTGTCCTTGGGCCATGGGGAGCTACAGCAGGTTCTTGAGGAAGGGAGTGGTAGTACAACAGACATCCTGTTTGAGACAGATCTGGCCAGTCTCACAGAGTTGAGCTGAAGGTGTGAGCTCTTTTGATATCCTGGCTGGGGTCAGAGGGTGGTGGTGGTTTGACCTACATCATGGAACAGCTGCTTGGGAACCTGGAACTCTCAGCAGCACCTGTCAGCCCTGTTTCTATCTTTCCAGGTACAGCCGGATGTGGATAACCTGGAGTCCAGCCGAGGGGAGTCCCAGCAGTGGGGACGCCTACAGCTTTCCCTGGAGTATGACTTTGGAAGCCAGGAGGTAAGGGGTCCCAATTTGCAGGCCCAGAGGTTCTGCAGGTTTATGGAGGACCAAGTTGGTTGACTGGAGAAAACCCCTTGGCTGAGCTCACCGC